TTCCAAATTTAAACTCCAAATTATTTGACTTAAAAAGAAACCAATCCAAATTTCAGGCATTAATTTGCAATAACTTTGGTTCTCATACACAAAATAGAAGACAGTATGTTCTCGAATGAGTGGTAATTGGGATTTACTTATTTAATGATAGTTAATGATTCTCCCAAACTATACAGAGGAGGCTATCTACTACAACTACTATAAAATATAGTTATGAGTTGAAAGGAGAAAATAATCTTGTCTTAGTGTGGGATTGCCCAGAAGTGAATCTGAGACAAGGATTCACATGCAACTGGTAATCTAGGAGGAAACAATGGTAGGGGAGGGAAAAAGTGAGACAGGGAAGGGAAGGCAGACAGTAAAGGGTAGTGTATTAACCAAGTGTCCACTGTAGCTATAAAAAAACAAGCAAACAAAACTAAGCCCACTGGGAAAATCTGGCAGCCAGTTGAAAATAGTGTAGCAAAGGGGACAGAAAGACTGGGATAGTATTTATATATTCATTTATGTCAGTAATTAGATGAGGGCACACCCAGGCAGTATTATCTGGCATGCTGGTCTGCTGAGCAGATGGGCAAAGCGGGCTTTGGTGATAAGAAGAAGCCCTCAGGCAAAGAAATACTATGACTGGCTAATGAAAAAGGGGCCAGCACACACTGAAGGGGTGAGAACAAGGGGGAACTAGTGGTAAACTGACACTCATATGGACAGGATTGATCTAGAAGACCCAATAAAAGAGGGACTTTAGGCTTTGAGAAATGAGTAGTATTTGGTTAAGCGAAAGCATTTAAGTTAGGAAATTGGTATAAGCAAAAGTATAAGTAGGAAAGCATAACCTGGGTAATAAGTCAGTTTGTCTAGATCAGAGAAACAGTTTATATAGGATATCCTTAGGGAAATATAGCTAAAAATATATGTTGGGCCCACATTAGGAAAGGTATCTAATTCTAAGCTAAAGAGTTTCACTTTTTCTTGTAGGTACTGAGGAATCTTTAAATTTCTAAATAGGAATGTAATAAAATGAAAACATTACTTCAAGGCATTAACATCATGATGGTATCATTAATGTCCTTGGACTGTAAACTCCTTTTGGGTAGGATCTGTATCTGTTCAGTTTCTCCAGGAAAGAATTGCATACAGAGAAGTATTCAGTAACCCATTAGCAATGAGGACCCTGAGTACAAAAACTGTGCTGTCTAAATACCATTTCTTACTAAAGGAACCAAGGCTCCTTGGAAAAAGGGCCAATTTCAGGTCTGTGAAGAATATTTATGAGTCTGAGACATTTTTTTCACCCCAGAAATGAAATTAAGTATCAAACACTAAGTGGCTTGGTCATAACTCAGGAATCTACTTGAGAGGGTTCCCACTAGCCAAAGAAGAAATAATTGAGCATCAAAATAATAAATGTTATAAAAATACTTTATAAATAATATCTTCGATGACATAAAATATACGGCCGGTTTGGCTCAGCGATTAGACCATCAGCCCGCGGACCAGAGTCCCAGGTTCAGTTCCCGCTTAGGGCACGTACTTCAGTAGCAGTTTATCCCTGGGTGGCAACCAGTTGATGTGTCTCTCTCACATCAATGTTTCTCTCTCTCTCTCTCTTCCTCCTCCTCTCCCTCCAGCTCTATCTGAAGATAAATGCAAAAATGTCCTTGGGTAAGTATAAAAATTATATATATATACACACACACACACACACACACACACAAACTAAAAATTTTAACATCCACGAGTTCATAAATATACTTAAAAACTTGAAGGATATTAGGGAACTAACTCATTACTCTGAAAACTACAAAATAAAGAAAAATATTGCACATTTATTCTGGTCTTCCTGTATAAAGTGTACAGACATTTAATAAGGGAAAGTTATTTATTATAAAAGAATTTCTGGCCTGGCCTGTGTGGCTCAGTGGTTGAGCATCAACCCATGCACCAAGAGGACACCAGTTCGATTCCCGGTCAGGGCACATGCCCATGTTGTGGGCCAAATCCCTAGTGGGGGGCATGCAGGAGGTGGCCAATCAATGTTCTCTCTCATGGATGTTTTTATCTCTCTCTCCCTCTCCCTTCCTCTCTCTCTAATATCAATAAAGAAAAAAAATTTATTTTTAAGAATTTTTGTTAGTGAATGTAGAATGAATTATCAAATTTGAATGTCACCATTTTGAAACTCTAAATGAAATAATGGACCTATGAGATAATCATCAGTGGCTGCTGAAACTATTAGCTGGAAAGTGGCTGGAAAATGTTTACATTTATCACAAACTTTATCAGGCTGATAACATCTGAACTCAGCAGCCAATTATAACGTGACAAAAAAAGATACAACCAGACAGTGTATGCTTCTTAATGTAAGGCAATAGGGAGTAAGCGATAACACCTATAAAATATTTTTGCCAAAAATAAAAAAAGATGAATCTGGATAATCCTGTAACTTTAACTACCAATTTACAAGAAATACAGGAGAAAAAACACCATAGGAATACAATTTGCAAAATTCAAAATGTGAGAAATTCTATAGAACAAATGATCAAATCAAATATAATGTGGAGACTTTGTTTAGGTCCTGATTTGAGTAAAACATATTAAATTAAATTTATGAGATGATAAAATTGGATCATGAAAGTCTCATGATATTATAAATTACTGAAAAATTTAAGTTGCACTAATGATGTTGTAGTAATGTTATTTTTTAATCCCTTTTATATTGTAGATATATATTAATAATTCCAGAAAGTTTATTCTTAAATATTTACTAGTAAAATAATATGGTGTCTAGAATTACTTCAAAAGAATCTAAAGGACTGGAAGACTATATATTAATAATTATTTATGCTACATGATTAATATATGAGTGTTCATTATACTAATCTATTTACTTGAACATATGTTGGACTACAAAGATTGGGTATTCCAAGTAAATTAACTAAAACTCCCGCCAATCACTGACATCATTAGGGACTAAAGACAACTATTGATAGACAGAAGCATAGAACAAAGCTAGAAAGAGCCGTTATGAAAGTACAAAGTCAACAGGTACATAAAACTTCACTTTGAGAAATTTCTAATAGAAGCAGAATAGTAATGCAAGGCCAGGTACAGAAGGTCACCAGGACCGAAAGCTCTGCATTCCTAGCAACAGACAAAACGAAGAACACAAGTATTATATTATATCCCACCCAGGGTGACCTTTCTTCCACTCATGTATCGCTGCTCATGTGATTTAGACCCCCTGACCTTTCATATCACTGGTCATGCAATTCAGACCCTCTCCTGACCTTTCTTCCTCTAGCATATAGACCCCCTTTGAGGAGAAACAAGGGGGAGAAGGGTCAGAGAACAGCCTCACAAGATCCCTATACAAGCCCTTGCATGACCACTCCCTTAAGCAGTAAGCTCTCAAGACAATGAGGTTCTGAGCTCCATTAAATAATCTTAGGAACTAAGCCTTGGGTCTATTGACCATAGAAAGTTTGGATCAGATATCTAGGCCTTGGTTGTGTTTCAGTTCCAGGCCCATAGAAGTGGTAAAACCAGATGAAGCAATGCCGTGGCTGACATCAGGACCAGCTGCAGTGACTAATGACTCCCTACCCTAGCGCTGACCGATCTGTACAGACCATGACCCTGAAAGGACACACATGGAAAGCTGAAAAACATTATATTGAGATCCTCCCCCTGAGTCCTCCAGATAAAAACCCTTAAGAGAAGGACCCAGGGTGCAACATCTTTCTCTTGAGCACCCCTGTGCCTTTCCTTCCCTTTTTCTTTCCTCAAGATACAGACCTTGGCTTTCTTCCTCCTAAGCTCCAAGGGCCCTTCTTTTGCCTCTGTAACTTTCTTCCCGAGTCCACACAGCCCAGCTGGCTCACTTCTTCCACAGCTCACTTCTTCTACCTCTATGACTTTCTAAACAAACTTTTCTTATATTTTGTTCCTCAGCTCTGAACTCTTTTCTTAGCCAAACTCAAAGATGAGGTCTAACATCTGATGCTGTTTGCAATTAACATAATGACTAAAATCTGGGCAGGAATCAATGGTCAACGTTCAGAGACTCAAATGTTGCCCTGGCCGGTTTGGCTCAGTGGTTAGAGCTTCGGCCCGCAGACCAATGAGTCGAGGGTTCAGTTCCAGTCAAGGGCACATACCTCGGTTGTGGTCCGTCCCTGGCCCTGGTCCGGTTGTGCAGGAGGCAACCAGTTGATGTGGCTCTATCATATCGATGTTTCTTTCTGTCCCTCTCTCTTTCTCTCCCTCTCCCACTATATCTGATGATAAATAGAAAAAAATATCCTTGGGTGAGAAATAAAAAAAAGAGAGAGCGAGAGACTTAATTGTTGTTGATTGCCCAAAAGACAATTTAGTCAAGAAGAACTCTGGAAGTTCCGTAGCTTCTGGAGCAGAAAGGGAAGGAACTGAAATAATAAACAGCAGCAGCAGTAATAATTGTGTTGTGGGTACTAGCTCTAGACTTAGCACTGTCCTAAAGCTCTGCGTGCCTTATCCTACTCAAACCTCGCAATAACGCATCACAACAACCCAAGAAGGCGGTGTGGGCTCTTGGTATGCACTTTCTAAAGGACTGCCGAATGAGGTGGGCATCAAACACAGGGCGCCACTTTTCACATGAGGAGGTTGAAGTTCAGAGGCCAACACCACGTTGAAGGTCATGGACTGGAAGGTCTCGGCCCAGTGCCTATTCCAGTTTCATTTAACACGAAAGAATGATTTGAACACTCATTGCATTGGACTTGATGGGCTGGGTGCGGCATACTAGAAAACGGACATTCTTTCCACAGACCCAGAGTTTTCCATTACCAGCACCGCACTCCACACATCTGTCTCCCCGGGAAGAAGAACCAACGCTTCACTCCCGTCCAAGGAGCCGGGAACTCTTGCCCTGAGTGACAGTCTTCCCCCCAAGCCCCGCCCCTTCTCGGGCCGCGCACAGCCTTTGACCTTCAAACTACATCTCCCACAAAGGCGCGCGCAGACTCGGCCCCTCCACCGGAAGTCGAAGGCGCTAGCGGGCGCTCGGCAGAGTAAGTGGGGGTTTACCGGTCCGTCGACCGCAGCCGGCTCGCTCTGTCCCGGTCGTCTCTCGGGTGGTAGCTCGGCGGCGCGCCGTCGGCCGCAGCTGGGCCGGGGCGGTTGCCAGCCGTCCGTCTGCGCGCTGTCCGCCGGGGCTGCTCGGCGCGGGGGCCGTCCCTGCGGGCCGGGGGCCGGGGCTGGGGCTCCTCCGGCCCCGTCTGAAGTGGGGGAAAGGAGACGCTGCCTCGGATGTGGTTTCCAGTTTAAAGAAGGAACCTCACAGTAGTGGCGAGAAAATAAACTGTCCCGAGGCGTTGGACCCTGTGAAGAGAGCGTGCAGGGTGCACGATGGGCGAGCGGGCCACGTTGGGGCCCGTCGGGCGGGCGCTCGTGCAGTAGTGGTCGTGGCCCGGGACAGGTCTCTGTTGAGCCCTGTGACCTGGGGCCAGTCATGGGCCCCGAGTTCCACATCAGGGAAAGTGGGTGTTGGTTGGAATAAAAGCTAAGACCCTTTAACCCTCAGATTCATTTATGCTCCTCCTGGAAAGCGAAGGCGGCGTTCAGGTAACGGAATCGCCTCGTCCTGCCTTCATTCAGATCGTCCCCTCCGAGGACCTGTCAGCCAGGCCGCAGAGCCGGGTTTCAGGCTTTGCGTGCTTCCCTGGACCGGTACCGGTTCTGTTTCTAAGTGGCTTTTATGGTAAGAAAGCCAAGGGGGAAACTGTTTTCAACTTTCTCCTGAAAACACTGAATGCATACACATGGCGCTAAGGCTTCTGGATGGTACAGTCACGATGGCCGGTCCATGGGGAGAGAGAGGACGTGACCATGACTTCAGAACCTGAGGCAGTGAAATATTGCTTAAAGCGAATCTCACTGAAGGGCCTGTATGATGAGATTGCAGAGAATATAAATTTAAGGGCTCCCCGCCCCCGCCCCCGTGTGGCTCCATTGCACCAAGAGGTCACCAGCTCCATTCCTGGTCAGGGCACCTGCCTAGGTTGTGTGTGGGCTTGATCCCCAGTGGGGGCTCTGCAGGAGGTGGCCAGCGATGTTTCTCTCTCATCGATGTTTCTCTCTCTCCCTCTCCTTTCCTCTCTCTCTCAAAAAAAAAAAAACAAATTTAAAAATTTTAAGGGAACATTAATTTAGAAGGGAGACTACACGAGTCTGTATATAGCAGTGCTTCAAAACCAAGCCCTGAAAAGTTGTGTCTTTAGTACTCATAATACTTTTAAAGCATTTAGACATCTCAGTATAAACAGAATGGTCAGGTGAATTCTCGGTTAAATCAAAAGAAATAAGAAATTGTCTTCTAATATAGAAGTCACTCTTATTATTTTAAGTTATAAACAGATTTTCATTATTAGGTTTTATCTAAATGTTTACATTCCTGTGAATATATTTTGCCTATTTATAATATTCACCTATTAATTTATAAGTAGTGAACGATACAAACAGGAAAGGTGAATGAACACAAAACAAAGTTAATCTCTCTTGCCCATTTTCCCCCTACTCCTACCGTAAAATTGATCTGCCAAATTGTAGTGTCAGAACCCTAAAAACAAAAGCTTTAAAAAATTATGGATTATGACCTTTCCTTCTTTTTAGCCTAAATATCTTATTGCTTAGAACAGTGGAAACCTAATTAGAAGGCCCAGTCTTTTCTTAACAGCATTTCATAGAAAAAAAGTTTATACATTAAAAACAGGTACTTTGAGAAATTCATAGACAACTGAAACATGAACTATTTCCACCAAAAATAGATCAGTTTGTGCCCTACCACATTTAATCCATGTTTAGGCAACATTTATTAAGGTATGAAACAATTATTTTCTTTATTTTTTCTTACTGAAACAACAGAGTGATAAAGCAGGCAAAGTTAGGGTTTAAAAGGTTTCTGTGATTCAAAGGTAGACAAAGTGACAGAACAGTGTCCACTGATAGAATTAAAAATATATGGTCGTCTGATTTATGACTACAATAATACTGCAGTGCAAAGGAACAAAGATAGTAATTTCAAGGATGATGTCGTCATATGGATTACTCAGTGAGATAAAAATGTATCTTGAACCCTGGCCAGTTTAGCTCAGCGGTTGGAGTATCTGCCTGCGGACCAGAGAGTCCGGGGTTCAGTTCCCGCTAGGGGCACATACCAAAAAAAAGAAAAAAAAGAAAAAAAATGTATCTTGACCCCTATCTCACATCATGAACAAAAATCAATTCCAGATAGATTGCAGCATTGTGCAAGGAGAAACAATAAATGGTCTTCATGAGAAACTTAGCTTTTGAATAATTTGTTATAGGATCATGATTTCTCTGAGGGCAGGGGCCTGTTGTTGGTACCCAAGAATCTAAGGGAATGCTACTTGTCAGGTGCTAAAAACTGTCTTTACTTCTGTCTGCTTAAAACCCTCCCATTGAAGTACCTCTGGTCTACTTCACATACCTGCTTATCTTTGTAAAGCTGTTAACTAACTCCCTCTGCAAAGGATATGGCCCCATCATCCGTATTACCAAAGTTCTATATATGTTATTTTATATATCCATCATGTTGAATTATATTTAAAATTATCAACTAATGACAATTTTGAAATGTATGCTGTGATGACAGTTGACTACTAATTGCCTTTTGAAGAGTATATTATTTTAGAAACCATAACTATTATAATTATATCAGCACTCAGATAATGTTCAATCATTGATGTAAAGAGCAATTGCAAATGAGTTTTTTCTATTCTCCTTTTTTTAAGGAAGAAATGTCTTCTATTAAAAAAAGTCCAAAGCAAGAAATGATTTCCCAGTTTCACTGTTTAGCTGCGGAAGGAAACATTGCCAGATTAACAGCAATACTCAGTCATTCTCCGTCTCTTCTCAATGAAACTTCTGAAAATGGCTGGACTGCTTTAATGTATGCTGCAAGGAATGGGCACCCAGATGTTGTCCAATTTCTACTTGAGAAAGGGTAAACATTTTAGGCTGTAACACCTGAAGGATTATTGTGGCGTAATTTCTAGGTTACATCTTTTCTTTTAAATTTTTCTTGTAGCCATATTTATATCTTTGGACTTGTAAATAACTCATTGACTAGTTTTGTTATATAAAAATGTAGCATAATTTCTTACTAAAAGCTTGTAACCTTTTTTAGTGAGGAATTACCTTTTCATACTTAATAGCAAAGAAAATTATGAGCTAATCTAATATTTTTCCCAAATACAAAACGTAAATCTACCCACTATGACTCACTCACAAATCCCTTGTAAAATTTTAATATCTCGTAGCACATACTACTTTATCTTATAATTCTTCAGAAAATTAAAATATCCACTATCTCTAACTTTTCATCATTTTTGATTATTTCTTTTAGCCTTCCCACTTGTAAATTATGTATTAAAAGAAAAAATTCTATGTAATCATTAAATAGAGGGACTATAATATGCATCTGGAAATATTTTATTGTAATAAATACTGGAGAAAATGTTTATTTCCTATTATATTTTTCCTTTTATCTATAGGTGTGACAGATCTGTTGTGAACAAATCAAGGCAGACTGCATTAGATATTGCTAAATTTTGGGGTTACAAGCATGTAGCTAACTTACTAGCTAACACTAAAGGTGGGAAGAAGCCTTGGTTCCTAACCAATGAAGTAGAAGAAAGTGAAAATTACTTTGGCAAAACACTACTGGACCGGAAAAGTGAAAAAAGAAATAATTCTGACTGGCTACTAGCTAAAGAACGCCATCCAGCCACAGTTTATATCCTTTTCTCAGATTTAAATCCCTTGGTTACTCTAGGTGGCAACAAAGAAAGTTCCCAACAGCCAGAAGTCAGGCTTTGTCAGCTGAACTACACAGATATAAAGAATTATTTGGCTCAACCTGAAAAGATCACCTTGATTTTCCTTGGAGTAGAACTTGAAATGAAAAAAGAGTTACTTAATTATGCTAGGGAGGTCCCAAGAGAAGAAGAAGATGGGTTGGTTGCCTGGTTTGCTCTAGGTATAGATCCTGTTGCTGCTGAAGAATTTAAGAAAAGGCATGAAAATTGTTATTTTCTTCATCCTCCAATGCCAGCTCTTCTGCAATTGAAAGAAAATGAAGCTGGTAAGAAGTGAACACTCTGCACTTGTATTGGTAATAATCTGGTTTTTGGAACTGTATGGGAGTTGTATATATCTTGAGTTTTTAGGGGGCATGCTTTTTCCGGTAAGCAATGAAATGAAGCTATGTCTTCATTAGAAACTTGATAAAGTTCTCACCCTAGGAGACTACTCTTCTGGGCAATTGCAGCAGCCTTAATCAGCCAAGATAAATTTCCCCAGAATTAACCCTAATGCATGATGGTGTCATTTGATTCTTCAGTGAATAATTATCGAGCACCTGCTGTGCAATGAGCCTGATGGCAAAGACTCTGACTAGTATTTTGTTTTGTTTTCTGTTGCTGGGTATGCCAATTCATGTAGGGCCTTTTATGCCATGGTAAAAAACTAGGAGTTCTAGTCTAAGTTCCAGTTAAATATTATAACCTGACCTATGTTTAAGAAAAAAACAAAAACCCTCACTTTGACTGGTTTGTAGATGATGAATTGTAGGTAATTAAGTATGGAAGTCAGGCCTCTTGTGAGGTGATTAGAAATGACCACATCCCAGGTAAGAGATTGTATTGACTTGGATTAGTGGAGTGGCAGAAAAGAGAGGGATTGAGATATTCTGGAGGTAGAACTGACAGGCTTGATCAGTAGGTTGAGACTATTATGAGTGAGAGGGAGATGATAGTAACCTGGACTATAACCTGAATTAAAGTGATAATAGTAGAGATGGTGACAAGGAGGTACATTCAAGGTATATTTTTTAGAGAAAATTGACAGTCCTTGATGGGATGAGGGTAGATTATATAATAATGAAGGGAAAGACCAGGAATGACTGCTAGGTTTGAGACTTTAGTAGTTTGATAGATAGGGATGCTATTTTTTGATAAAATAATGTAGGTTGATGAGTAGAGCAAGGGAAGCAGGACAGACTTGAAGTAAGTAAATCAAGATAGTTTTGGGTATGCTAAGTTTTACAGGATATTAGAAGCTGGAGAGAGGAGAGGAGAGGTCTGAGTTGGAGATATCCACATGGGAGTCATCGCCCTGGCCAGTTTTGCTCAGCGGTTAGAGGGTCGGCCTGCGGTCCGGAGAGACCCGGGTTCGGTTCCCGCTAAGGGCATATACTTCGGTTGCAGTTTGTCCCCGGCCCTGGTTGGTCGTGCAGGTGGCAGCCACTCGATGTGTCCCTTCACGTCGATGTTTCTCTCTCTCTCCCTTCCTCTCTCTCCTTCCCACTCTATCTATACAAAAAATGGAAAAATACCCTCGGGTGAGGGAAAAAAAAAAAAAAACACATGGGAGTCATCAGCACAAATATGGTATTTAAATCCCAGGAAACTACTGAAATTACTTAGAGAGTTGAGAACAAGTAAGAAAGAGAATCGGAATCATACCTGAATCCTTCAATTTAGAGGTCAGGTAGAAGTGGAGGAGCCATCAAAGGTGACGTTGACAGTGTAACCATAAGGTAGGAGGAGAACAGGAGACATGGAAACCATGAAAACAGTATTGTTTGGAGGTACTGGTCAAATGTGTTGAATGCTCTTGAGAATTTGAGTAAGATGAAGACAAACTATTTTTTTAAAGGATCTTTGGTTTAGTAGTATGAAGGTATTGGTGAATTTCACAAGAGTAGTGTCAATGGAGTAGAAGGAACAGAAGCTAGATTATGATAGATTGCGGATTTAATTGGGGGTGTGCAAGTGGTCACTTGCCAGTGTTCACCTTCCCTGAGGTGATATGATGGCCCTTCCAGAGACATAAATGTTGTAAATACAGTATTTTTTTTTTAAATACTCTGTGTAGTTTTCAGTTGTAAACAGGATATGTTCCACAGGGACATGGAAGGACCAATGGTGGCTTAGTCACCAAGGTAGAGATGAGTTCTAGTCGTTTGCTAGTAATATTGCCTTCTAAAGTTCAAGTCCAAGTTAGGAACTGCCTTTGTAGTGTATTTTTATAAAAGTATTCATTATAAAGTCACTATTTGTAAAGTCACTATACACCAGAATCTTGTATATCTAAAATTTCTGAATCACCTATAGTAAAAGCCTGAGCTAATACAGTGTGTAAGATGGATGTTAGTACATCTATCTTATATGAGTTACATTTTCTTAGTTCAGATTGAAGTTAACTCTAATTTTCATCTGTGATATGTAGAATTAAGTCTTTTACTTTTAAAAAAAGTGTACACATCATAAAAATAGGAATGCTAAATCCTTGATCACACAGCTATTCAGAAGTATATGCTTTATTATGACTTAAGAACTTTTATACAATATATGTCATCATTATAACAAGAATATTTTACATATACAATAACTTGTTTACAATTTGTCATAGAATTAAAACTCTTTCTGTATCTTTTAAAGGGGTTGTAGCTCAAGCAAGATCTGTTCTTGCCTGGCACAGTCGATATAAGTTCTGCCCAACCTGTGGAACTGAGACTAAAATTGAAGAAGGTGGCTATAAAAGAGTATGCTTAAAAGAAGACTGTCCTAGCCTCCATGGTGTTCATAATACATCATATCCAAGAATTGGTAAGCCTTTTCCTTTACAGTGAAATCTCAGCCAAACGAATCTTGGGGAATAAGACATTGTGGAAAGACATGATTTTCAGTGGCTGAGGGGTTTACCTTTTTATTAAGGGCATGTTTAATGTAACCGTTAAGACTATAAGTATTAAGTTATTACATACTGTCATGACTTTTGAGTAAAGGACATTGTACATGATCATTTCTTAACTCTGGATTAATCAATATGAATTTGATGTGTACAAATACATGATTTCAAAAGCCCACCAGTCTGGATCTACTTAGTGCAGAGACACAAAAAAAGCCCCAATATTTCAGTGCCTGTTTGAGGCATCACCAAAGCAGTACAGCCTGTAGCTAGCTTCTCATAACTGCTAGTGTCTGCCTATACCTTCTCTCCTTCCAATTGCTGCTTTGAGTCTGCTGTGGATTTGGAAATCTGATAACCCAGCCCTTTAAAACTTTGTGAAAAAAGAATAGACGCCCTAAGCAACATCTAAGGAGGTCTCCCGGGAGTAAGTAAAGTGCATGGTTTAATGACATCTGTTTCTATTGCTCAGGAGCCTTTTATATCTGATTCCTGGATCTCAGTCATATAGAAAAGACAATTCATTAGAATAGTGACTTCCAGAGAGGCAAACTGTTATTTAATTTATATGTATTTTTGATGGCTTAAACTTAACCATAGAGCCACCTTAGCTTTCAAAAACATTTTGTTAAGGATTGGGATGGAAGGGAGAGGGAAATTCACTATGTTTACTATGGTCAAATTTGAATTTTCTACATGCCATGTTTATCTACTCACATTACTTTCTTATAAAAAAATAAGGATATGCCTAGCATACCATAAATACACAGTAAATATTACTATTAAGATAAGAAGGAGGATAACAATGATCTTTTAGCTTACTGACGGTGTTCTATACAACTTCCCTGAAATACTGTCATTAGGCAGAAAGAAACAATCTCTTGTAACCAGACAAGAGCCTTGTTCTTATAATAGATACACCTTTTAATTATCCTCCTAAACAGTGACTGGACATACACAATGAGTCTAAATCATTTTTCCTGTCATTCATACATATGATTTTTTTTTAAATAGATCCAGTCGTAATCATGCAAGTTATTCATCCAGATGGGACCAAATGTCTTTTAGGCAGGCAGAAAAGATTTCCCCCAGGCATGTTTACTTGCCTTGCTGGATTTATTGAACCTGGTAAGTGTTTTTAAAATAATTTTGTAATAATTTTTATTTAACTTATAATTTCTAAATAAAAATTTTAGACAGCATTTCAGAAATAATCTTTGATATATTATCATGTTATAAAATGGATATTTAAAAATTTTCTATATATATATATATATATATATATATATTTTTTTATCCTCATCCGAGGACATTCTTTCATTTTTTGTTCAGATAGAGTGGGAGGGAGAGAAAGAGAAACTTCAACGTGAAAGGGACACATTGAGTGGCTTTCTGCACAACCCAACCAGGGCCGGGGACAAACTGCAACTGAGGTATGCACCCCTAGTGGGAACCGAACCCGGGTCTCCCTGGACCACAGGCCGACGCTCTAACCACTGAGCCAAACCAGCCAGGGCTATTTTCTATATATTTTAAATGATATCATTTTTGTTTTTACTAATGGAATAATTTAGTATGTTTTAAAAATTCAATATTGGTGTCCTGACCAGTTTTGCCTAATGGTTAGAGCGTCGGCCCACAGTCCAGAGAGTCTCGGGTTCAATTCCTGGTCAAGGGCACATACCTGGCTTGCAAGTTTAATCCCTGGCCCTGATTGGGGTCGTGCAGGAGGAGGCCAATCAGTTTGTCTCTCTCACATTGATGTTTCTCTCTCTCTTTCCCTCCCTCCCTCCCGTTCCACTCCATCAAAAAAAAAAAAAAAGAAAAGAAAAATCAATAGAAAAATATCCTCGGATGAGGATTAAAAATAAATAAATAAAAATTCAATATTTGGCTTTCATATGTCTTTCATATATTGCTGTTACCCAAGATATTGGCATGATTTACACCTCACTTCCTTCTGTGCTAGACTCAGCTGTCAACTTTTCAAATAGGCCTTCCCTGTTAGCCCCAAATACATTACCCCCATACCCAGCACTCACAATCCCTGTTATCCTGCAGGTTTTTTTGCTATAGCACTTATCACCACCTAACAAGGTATGTATGTGTGTATGTATGTATGTATGTGTCTTTCTATCTACCTATCTAGCTATCTACCTATCTTGTCTGTCTGTCTGTCTGTCTCTCTATTTATCTGCTCATACCAGAAAGTAAGTTCCACAAGGGCAGGGACTTTGTTTTATTTATCAGTGTATCCCAAACCCTTAGAGCAGTGCTTCTTATATAGTAGGCATTCAATGGATGTTTGTGGAATAAATGAATGAATATATCTAATAATGCATTATTTAATCTCAACTTCCAATATTAATATTCATTGTTAGATAATAATAGTAATAAACATATGTAGAGCCACACTCTATTCTGAAGGCTTTCCATATATTAAATCATACGATCCTTAGCAGTTTTACAGATCAGGCACTAAGCACAGGGGCTGAATTACTTCCCCCAAAACAAGCAGCTAGTAAGTGATAGGGCAGGGATTCAAACCTGGGCAGTTTGGCTCTGAGTCCATGCTCTTAATCATTGTGCTGCCTCAAGTAGCTCTAGGTTATTTATGTATTTACTGCTGTGTAGCATTTGATTTATGAATATCCTGCAATTTATCTGTTCTGTTGGATATTTAACTTATTTCAAAACTCTTGATATTACAAGTAACACTGCAATGAATATTTTTATACTACTCCTTGTACACATTTGCAAGAATTATCTAAAGTATGTGCCTGAGAGTACGATTGCTAGATCACAGGCTATGAGCATCTTAACCTTTCTAGATATTGCCAAGTTGCTCTCTAAAGTGTCCCTGCCAATTTACATTCCTTCTAGCAGTATATGAAATGTCCTATTATTTCTACATCTTCACCAAGTTAGAATTTTCAGACTTTTTAATTTGCCATTCTGATGGATACGAAATAGTATTTCACTGTAGTTTTCATTTTCATTTTCCTACTAATGGAGTATCTTTTTCAAATATGTGTAGGCATCCAGTTTTCTTTATCCCTGAGTTTTACATGTTTATGTTCTTTGCTTATTTTTGTTTTGTTGTTATCCTTTTTTTCTTACTGATTTAGGAGTTTTTAAATATGTATTATATGCTAATCTTTATTTAGTTACGGTCTTGCAAATATCTTATACTAGTCTATGACATATTTTCACTGTTTTTTGTGAACATAGGTTGTTAACTTTAAATATAGAAAATGTATCAATCTATTTGAAAAGACAGGTATATTTAAATAGCAAGACATTTCTAAACTTCCAGATAAACTTAACTTAGAAACTATTCCCTCTATCCTAATTCTCAATTCCAACAAATCAAAATATAAAGTACATTTATAGGGATCATTTTATTTAATCAAAGCTGAGTCAACAGTTATTTTAGAGTAGTGATTTACAACCTTTTTCATCTCGTGGCACACATAAACTAATTACTAAAGTTCTGCAGCATACCAAAAACTGTATTTTTTTGCCAATCTGACAAAATAGGTATAATTTTTATTGATCTACAAAAAAAAAAAAATGTTAATAATAGTAATTACCTACCTTTTTTTGGTCCAGTGACTTTTTTAAAACTCAGGTGCTGCTCTGACCCATATAGCTAAGTTGGTTGAGCATCATCTTGTGCACCAAAAGGTCGCCAGATTGATTTTCAGTCAGGGCACATGCACGGGTTTCGGTTTTGGTCCCAGGTCAGGGTGGGTACCGAGGGCAAATGATAGATGTTTCTCTCTCTCTCCCACTCTCTTTCTCTCTCTCTTCCCCCACCCTTCCTCTGTGTCTAAAAAAATATATATATATATATTTAAAAATCAATTTTAAAAATCAGGTACCTATCCTTGTATATAAGGATTTCTGGTACCAAGAAATAACCAATCAGATGCAACCTTATTATGCAATGTGACTAATAAGATGCAACTCTATTATATGACCTATATATTTATTACTAAAGACAGGGCATCCACACCAGGTGGCTATTGTTGTGTTAGTTGTCATTTTTTTATTTGACAATCTAAGAGAAAAGAGGTCAGTAGCCCTGACTAAATAGTCAGATATTGCATGTTTAAAAATTCCTGTGGCACACTGTTTGAAAATCACTGATCTAGAGGAAAATAATCATTTAGAAAGAAAAATACTGAGTTTTACTTAATATGTTTTTTAAACTTTTAGTGTTATCTATTTTCTAACTAGCTTGGAAAGAGTTATCTACAATAATTAGCAACATGAGAAAAGACGAGTTCGACGATTTTAGTGAGGAAAAGAAAAGCCATTAAAATAGTTATAATTTTTAACTATTTAGTGATAATTTATAAATGAAACACTTTATAAAGTGTTTACAAGGTTTTTAACCAATAGTAGGTGCTAGATAGTTGTAGATGTTATTTTTTAAATGTCGCTAAAAATTTGGACTTTTAAAAAATGAGAAGTTTGTTGATATTTTGATTCTGTATGTGGTCATAAACTTTAAGACATAATGTTTTCTTGAATTCCAATCTAGTTTTAGGCTTCTGCTTTCTGATTATTTGAATTGGGTTTCTGTCCAAAGTGATTTCCAAATGTTTGAACCATTTGGAGTACAATATGTCCAGGGCATGTTCGTCAGCTACTTGTTCTTTTGGCCCATTTGATTAGGGGAGACAATAGAAGATGCTGTTCGAAGAGAAGTAGAAGAGGAAAGTGGAGTCAAAGTTGGCCATGTTCAGTATGTCTCTTGTCAACCATGGCCAATGCCCTCCTCCTTAATGATTGGTTGCTTAGCTGCAGCAGTGTCTACAGAAATTAAAGTTGACAAGAATGAAATAGAGGATGCCCGCTGGTTCACTAGAGAACAGGTAAAGTTCAATTTAATTTCCTTCTTCTATTGATTGTTCTCTGACTGTATCGGTTTAGGCATGCAGCAAGGGTGCTTGTTTTCAACAAGTTGAATGAATGGCTATGGCCCTCTCATCATGCATGGATTACAATGTAATTGATGTGTCCTATGTTAACTCATTCTGTGAGATTCTTCTAGTAATGATGATTCTGTGCCATTTTCTCATTTCAAATGCCATTACTTCAGATTAATACCTTTTAATGACTTAAAATAGGTAACAATTATTTCAGAGATGAGAAACAAGAATATTATTTTTAGACATTTTATATTTTAATTTATAGCTTTAAAACAGCTATCAAAAAAGATCAGTGAAACTTGAAATTTGTGAAAAGTTTTTGGTTTATATGCTTAAGGGCAAGAATGACAAAACTGTACAACAAAGATGCATTCACAAGAACTTTTTAAAACATGATTAAGTATTATAATGAGAGATGAATTACTTGTTCTGTGTCTTGCATGACCTAAAGTATTTGTATTAAAATGGATAAACTACAGTATGAAGACCTGAAATCCTTTTGGCTGTGTCTAAATAAAATTAATTCTATTTTATGCCCAACCTCTAAAAGTATAAATTAGATTTTTTTTCAGAATTTTATAAAATGAAACCTGTCCCAAAGTTGACTTTACTTTGAAAATAAGTGTGGAACATGTACTTTGCTTTCTTATGATCTTATTTTCATAAGGAAATCTGCCCTTCTCAAATATTTTAAAAATTGAATCACTAACTCAGTGAAGCAACTAAAGATGTACTAACTTTTGCATGTTGAATATGGATGTTATCACTTTCTACTGTTGTTATTACCTGTAAAAGTCATCACATTTTAGTTGAATCATATAAGCATAGAAATAGTATTTCAGTATGCCAGTGTTGGAATCCTAATACATTTTATTATGGTATATTTTAGGTTGTGGATGTTCTGACCAAAGGGAAGCAGCAGGAATTCTTTGTGCCACCAAGCCGAGCTATTGCACATCAATTAATCAAACACTGGATTGGAATGAACCCCAATCTCTAAGTCAAATAACTAGACTTTGAGTGCTAATTGATTTCTAATACTACTCATTTCCTCAAATGAGATTTGAAATGTTCCATGCTCTTTAGACTGTCACAACACAAAATATCATATTGGGTTTTTGAAATATTTTCAAAGTGTAGTTTTCATCTTAACCACAGAATTCTTATCTTTATAAATTACAACATTGCTCAGATTTTGTTAAATCTAGATCAACCTTCTGTGAACGTTTTTTTTTTTGGTTGTGCTCCACAATTTTATCTCACAAAACCATATTTCTAATAAGAGAAACCATGTTCTAAAGAAATAAGTTCTAAAAGTGTAAGTAAACCTAAATTCCACCACCTCTTATAAGCATTAGACCAGTCATTAAAGAACCTTCACTGAAATTAAACATATTTGAAAGGAATTCGCCTCAAAAGTCAGATGTTATATAAATCCCAGAAAGATTTACATACCTTTAAAAAACACTGGCTTTATGTCACTTTCTGATAAGGTTGTATCTGCATTAAAAACAATTATATAATCATTATTAATAATATTTATTAAACTCAAATATAATTTTTTGGGTTTGGCCTTAAATCATCACATTCTAAGAAGCCTTTATAAAGTAACTATATCTTAGAAATGAATCAGTAAGATTCTAGAGAAAGTAAATTGTTGTTATTTACAATTTTGCAACATAGAACTATCATATTTTACAAAGCTGTTTTGAAATTGTTTTAACAGGTAAATTTTGAATATATAAATTTGTACAGTTTGCTCTATACTATAGTATGTTAGAACTGAAAGAGACCTCAAGGATAACATATATAGTTCATTGCCCTTCTTTATAGATAAGATAAAGGAAATCCTAAAAGGTGAATTTAATTAATTTAATTCATTAAAGGTTAATTAATTAATTAATGAAAGTTACACAATTACACTTTACAATTTTTAAGACAATTAATTGTAATTATAATTAAGTAACTTAATCATAACAGTCTAGACTGTGTAACCCAGTGCAGGATTCTCCCTCTAACAAGAAGTAGAAACTATTACTAAAAGTATAGATAGCATAAATCAAAATAACAGATGATAACAGTAAATTCAGTTTACCAAATATTGTTAATTAAAATTTTAGATACTAAAATGTATTTAACTTAAATACTTTTATTAGCTAAAACTTTATTTTACTGGTAAACTGTTTTTTTTAGTAGTTGAAGGCTTATTGGTAACAGAATTTTAAACAAAACTAAGACTTACACAGGACATTTAGATACATAGTAAAATCTGAGTTACATAGGTATACAGAAAGTGATGTGCCTTGATTATTATAAAGTGTATTGACTTAAGGTTCAGTTTTACTTCAAATATACTTTTAATACTTACAGATCCTAAAATTACATAAAAAATTTCAGGTTTCCATAATATTAGGATAGCCAAGTAAAATACAAAGTATCAAAATAAAATCTAGTTACAAACTTAGTTTTTGATATTTAATCCCATGCTCAGGGAAAAACCGGTATCTGAATAAATTATTGTTTTAATAATTACTCTTAAATTGCTAACCTCTGAGAGGTGAATAGCTACATGTAAGTAGAAGGAATAGCTAAGAAATGATAGAGGTTAAGTGCCATGAATGTATGCTAATGGAAATGAAGGTAACCATACATTAAAAAATTTATTTTCTGTTTTTTTGTGTTATGTATATTTTTTAATGTTTTGATAAATGTCATCTGAAAAAATGGAAAAAAACAGTGTAGTGAAGGCAGGGGCCAGGGTGGGAGCGAGGAGGAGTGTGTCAATGGGTAAAAAAGGAGGGACATCTATAATGCTTTCTGCAATAAAGATAAATTTAAAAAATAGGGAAAGTGAGAAGCAATATTAAAAGAGGTGCAGGGTAAGAATTTGTAAAGAAAGACATGGCTGTCTGATTGAAATAATTTTTCATTCAGCAAACATTCCAAAGTGCTGAGAGTTAAAAACTGGCAATCCTGAATTATATGCCCAGCTGCAAAGATTCAAGATTTTAAAGAGTGAAAATTAAAGGCATTAGCTTAATATTAAAAAAATAATAATTATCTCTGCTATAATTTGTTGTGTACTCACTTACCAAGTAGTAAAACCAGAAATATATGAACTGGATATATAGCAAATTCATAGGGAGGGAGGAAAATTGGACTGAGGAGGGAGGGTATCATTGGCAACTTCAGTATTGTATGTATTTTACTTTTTAGAAAAAGCAAATATGAGAAAAAAAATATTTCAGTTATCGGGTTAGAATGATTGATCTGTAAAAAAAAATACAAAAGCCTTTTTTAAAGCTGTGATATTGGAAGACTTAAATTTTTTTTTAATCTCAATTTTGTAGTTTTGGGTCATGCACGGATGTCTACAGTATTTTATATATACATATATACTCACATATAAATATATGTCAATAATTTATCTTCAGATTTAGTTACATATCTAGTCTGTCTATTTTTATAACTTGTCTAATATTACCAGTCTTTGCATTTTGGATTTGTCTTTAGTTTACTGTCCAAAGAAGGACTAAAAGAATTAGAAACCGACATATTTTATTCAGTTGGAAAAAATGACTAACTCTTTTAAAGATTGAGTAAGGGATATGGGTAAAGACAGAAAAGAATAGAACAACCTAGGTGAGACCATGAGATAGAAGGAGAAAGTATGAGTTTGTTAATAAACTATTCCATCTCATATGAAAACACTAGATGGAACTGATCCTAGAACCTGTTGCTAATGTATATATAGCAAAGTATTAGGTAAAACTGTTCTATAAAACAAATTCATTAATTTTTTTAGAATAGAATTTCCACAACGTAAATTTTATTAGGGATGAGGGCCATTATTAGGTTCTGAATATTGTGTGTGTGTGTGTGTGTGTGTGTGTGTGTTGAGTGAAATTTATGTGTGTGTGTTTTCTTTAGTAGAATAATACCTAAGACAATGTACTTCACAGACCAAAATTAAGAGTATCTGTGTACAAATGTCAAAGATCTGGGTCTTGAGGCACTTACAAGAGATTGGAGAAGGAGAGTTTGATTTCAGTGCAGATGGGGGAGGGTGCTCAATAAGGGGGCCAAATACTTGGGAGCTTTGACATCACAGTGGTAGATGAGAGACAGACACATGGTATGTTTTGAGTACTCCTATTTTGAGGTGATGGATAATACTGTTGCCAAGATCCTCCATCTTCAAAAAGAGTCTCATTGGTCAGAAGAGAACTAGAAAGGAATTGTTTGTGAAAATAAACTCAGTGCTGAAAGTGATTTTTTTTTTTTTCCTACACTACATCTTGTTCTTTTTTTTTCCTGAGACACTCAGAATTCTAAATAGCTTCTGAAAGAGAAAGTACAGTGTGTTATCATATACAATAGATTTTCAAATAATTCCATTTGCCCCAAGTAGAAATGCTCAACGGGACAGTTATTTGAGTAATAAGGATGGCATGGGAAAAAATGAGTAGTCAGAATTCTGAATTATTTTATTGTTCGAGAAAAAAATGTTCAACTATACATGAACATTTGGACATGTTAATTTGGCTAACAGGCAGGTTCCTTGTTTTTACTAAAGGATATGCACATATAGTAGTACTCTTTGGTGCTAGTAGCACTTTCAACTTTTCTTTAGTCCTTCAACAATACTATGTTCCTCTTTTAGTGCTAAGCAGACAATGCCATTGCATTAGACCATGGATATTTCTCCTTTTCACAATTCCTATTAAAATGATACTCTAGAGAATAGCGGAGGCAGCTGGGAAATTTTAAAACAGATTTTAAGTTTAAAAAAAAAAAACCTTTCTGTTAATGGAAACATTTTTCTTTCTAACTAAAAATCTGATAAGAAACAAACTACAGCATAAAGATTGGAAAAAATGTCCTGGCTTTCCATTCCTGTACTCATGGGAACTAGACCAGACCATCTCCTTGTCTCACCCCTGATGGATTAAGAACATGCTTCTAATTGCTTGTGAGGTAGCTTCATATTTAGTAATGTGGAAGTTTCACCCAGGAGCAGAAATTGATAATGGTACTTATATCTCTTTTAGAACCTAAGAGTAAGTGGACAAGTGATCTAGTCTGAAGTTCATTTTTATTTACTTTTTCTTCAGCCCATTTTACTCTGGCCTGAAATTGCAGTCTAGTGGAGCAGTGTGAGGTTTTGAATAAATACCTATTACTACTTTTAGATAGCAGTAAGCTGAAATCTTCTCTATAAATAGGGGTAAAAACTATTTAAAATGCCATTGATCCAACAGCTTTGCTGCTAAGAGTTATTTTGCTTTTGTTGCTGGATTCGTTTGTGTTGTGAAACAAGTTTGAAAACTCTAGTGCCAAACAGTTGGTATGGTTTGGAGCTCCAAATAAGATGCCCTGACAATAGGTGTCTTAGTGAGGGCGTCGGTAGGATGGTAGCTATGAGTGGGAAACCGGTAGGAACTTTGTGTATTCTGGGTAACACCAGTAAGGATGAAAGCAAATATGCCATCAGTACTAATAAATTGTAAATTTAATTCAAACTCAGATTTCTGAACTTTGTCAAAGTTACCTTTTGCTTGTTCTTTCCTATATATTTCTAAGAACTACTAATAGATCTCTTAACAGTAAGCTCCTAAAAAAATAGAATTCTTTGATTAGCTCATTCTCATAATACTAATGCTATTGACACAGGACTTTATGTATAGACTGTTGGCAATTATTGTTTTTTTAATCCTTAAACTACCCTTTGACATGCTTATTAATACTGTATCAGGGTCCCCATTTTACAGTTGGTGTGGAGGAGTTACAAAGTCACATTGTTAATACATCGGAGAGCCAAAACTTGAACTCAAGTATTTCACTCCAGATCCTTCATCTTTACACTTAACTGTGGTTAAGAGCTATCCTTACAGAAGTGTCTTAATTCTGCAAAAGCACATCCAGTCATGATTTCCTATTTCAATTCCTTAAATTTTGGTCATTTTTCAGGTTGCATCTTTTATGATTATTACACATTTTTCACAACCTTCAACTACTTATTTGGTTCCCAAATTTCTATCTCCAACTGTCTGTTAGACATATTTGCTTGGACATCTCAGAGCCTCCCAAATACTACATATGTAAAATTAAACTGTTTTTTCTCCCAAGCATGTTCCTGTTTCTATATCCATATTTCAGTAGTCTTGCAAGTGCCCAACATAGAAATTTGGGTATTGTTACCTCCTTTGTCTACTTTATCTCTCACCCTACCATACCCCACAGCCACATAATTTCTAAATCCTATCCATTTTATTTCTTTATTTCTTAATACTTCTTAATCTCTCTCTCTCCCCTGTGATCATCCTATTCCAGGCTACTCACCTGGTTCCTAGCTCAGTTCGACTCCCTAAATTGGTCTCCCTCGTTCAAAGTTTTACCCCCAATCCATTCTTCACAAGGAGGTCTTGCTAAAGGTCAATCTTATCTAGTCTTTCTCTTAATGTTCTTCAGAAAGATTCTGTGGATGAATCCAATTTCCTTAGCATGGCCATTTACCTCTAACACTGATCACTTCTCTTTCTTCCGACCCCTTATATTTACATTCTTACAAAAAGCCATAGTTATATTTTGCTTGTTCTTTCCAATATATTTCTAAGAACTACTAATAGATCTCTTGACAGTAAGCTCCTAAGAAGATAGAATTCTTTGGTTAGCTTATTCTCAAAATACTAATACTATTTACACAGGACTTTATATATAGAATGTTGACAATTATTTTTTTAATCCTTAACCCTGTGACATGCTTATTAATACTGTATCATTATCCCCATTTTACAATTGGTGTAAAAATGTTATTATGCATTAATAACATTTATTAAGGATCATCTGAATAATTATGACCAATATCATAAGGTACTAGTTTAAATAGAAATGCTTCATGTATTTAAAGGTTTTAAACTAAATTTCTAAACTATATTTTTATTTACATATTTCGCAGTATTTCAAAAATCTAGGTCAAGGTCTTTATTATTTATCCCAGTTTTAATAAATAAGCACATTGAGTCTAAGAAGTCAAATGACTTCCCCAAGATCAGCATAGGATATGGAAATAGGACTCAAATTTAAATCTTTCTTTTGAAAGTTCACAACCTCCACAATACCATGCACCACACTGCTTCTGTCCCTGTATCTTATGCAAAGAGAAACGAATCAGCTGATAAAGAGCCTAACTAGATCATTTAAGTTTTCACTTTTGTTTGGGTTTCTTCCTCTTCACCTGCACCATGTGAACATCGTAGCTGTGTTTCATAAATGCCCCCATCCAAGCTCCCGAGCCACAAGAGCATCATTGTGCAGGAGAAGTATATTTGAAAATAAACAGACCTTAGGAATGGTTAAGACGAATAATAGGCTAATTAAAGGATGGTAGATCATTCCTGACACTGCATAAGATTAAATATGGTAATCAGATTTCAGATTTAGACGACCCAGATAAATCCAAAGTAGGACAAGGCGAGGTCCTCAAATCTTTACTTCATTTTCTTGCCTTTCAAAATACATATTTGCATTTAATTCATATCTCCTTCAAGGCTGAGGAATTTATGAAGACTTTACCCAGGTGAGCTGATTATATGTTCTTTTTATTTATTTTCTATTTTTCTATGCTGTTTTGAATGAAGTACTCTATTTTAATCTTTGTTGTCCCATATTAGTTGCTTAGCAAAGGATAATAGCAAAGGGAAAATTATTTGAATGTTATATATGAGGACACTTTAATAATGTACTTCTTTACAGTCACAGAAAATCTAACAGCTGTTTGTAACTTGCTCTGTTATCAGAGAGAATGCCTGTATCAAAAAAAGAAAAATTCTCAATAGTCAATGTGTTAGGCCTCTTTTATTTCGGCTAAGAAAGACATCATATGCATATTTGAATAGCCAACAGCCAGATCCTAATTTGGTTATTTGAAATAAATTGTGCATTTGGAAAGCAAGGAAAATGCAATTGACAAGCTAGGCTTCTAAGCATAATTGAACTTCATTCTGAATTCAGGGAGGGTCCATTTCATTTCAAAGCAGTAATCCTTGTTTTGAATTTCTATATTCTGCTTTGTTTCCATTGCAGCATTAAATTTACTACCAAATGTACATTTGATTTTAATAAATCACCAAGTTATTTTCTCATCTGGTTTAGTTAGTAGGATTTTTCTTCATTAATATTACCTTAATTTTACTTACATAAATGTTCTTATTTAATTTTTGAACTATATTCATCACCCAAAACATTGTGATCTGATCTCAAGAAAGAAGACATTAAGGATTGCTTTTTTCTATAACAATAATTGAAATTACTCTGAAATTTAAACCCATTTCATAGGCAAATATTCTGGCCAATATTTTTTGTGTAAATAATCCCAAATCAAAATTTGCAAAATTATGTATTTGCAATTTTACTGTCACTTGGTCTTTAAAAAACATGTTCCAAGATTTTGATGGAAGTATATATTTACAGTCAAAGATTTCTCTCAGGATCAGGAATTTAGACGGTCCTTCTTACCTTCCTCATTCTTACTCAGAATTTAAATATTAAATGGTTTTTAATCCCCCTTTTCTTCTTCCAGAATATAAACATTAGTTTTTTGGGTTGTTTTTTTTTTTAAATTATACTATCAGATTACCTTAATGTTGAATAAGTATCTTCAAATTCTTTATTTGGAAAGAAAACTGAAAAATAAATTTCTATTTTCTACGTAGTTTTTAGATATTCCTTCAGTTACTAACAATTCACTTTTTTTTAATTTTACATAAAGTCATTTAACTTCTCAAATTTATAGGAACCATGTGAGAAAATTACAATCAGGAAATCAACATCCTCATAAAATAGTCTCGGTGTCCTCGGGGAAAATCGCCCAATAACCAAATTTTCAACTAGGTCTTTAAAATGACAAACCAGGATCTTAGATGTGATAGGTCAAATTCTCAGCTGTCTCATCAGCTATGAAGCCTCTTTCAGAGACTGGTTCTAGATATTTTTGCAAAAGGAATAAAAATTCTCAGTGTGACCTGACTTGTGAAGGTATACATACTAACTACACAAAGTGCACTGATGCTATTCTTATCTCAGGGGACGCCGAGACCTCAGTGAATTTGAGAGATGGGATGGGATGTTAGCACTGATTATCTGCTCAATATAAACCCAATCATAAAGTGATTAAATTAACCTCGCAGGTTAATTCTAAGCATAATTTCTCATTCTAAGCATAACTCTCATCATTGACCAGACCACAATTTAAACACTTTTTTATGATAATGGGCCAAAATACAGCACAGTAGTTCAAGCTATGTAAAAGGAAGAGCAGAAAATATCAAGCATAGAAAAATATAAAATAAATGACATTTTATTGCTTTCTAAAACATACATTAATTTGGATTAAGCTACAGAAATGTATTCATTTTAGTGAGTAAGTACAATGAGCACAGAAAATGTTAAGAAGATCTGGCCAGTTTGGCTCAGCGGTTAGAGCATCGGCCTGCGGACCAGAGAGTCTTGGGTTCAGTTCTGGCTAAGGGCACGTACCTCAGTTGCAGTTTGTCCCCGGCCCAGTTGGGGTCATGTGGGTGGCAACTAGTCAATGTGTCTCTCTCACATCGATGTTTCTCTCTCTCTCTTTCTCCCACTCTCCCTCCCGCTCTATCTGAAGATAAATGCAAAAATGTCCTCAGGTGAGGATAAAAAAAAAGAAAGAAAATGTTAAGAATTGTGATTTTTAAATTATTGGAGAAGCTATCTCCTCTAAATCTTTTGATTGAAGTCTCTTTGATGTCCTTACATCTTGTTTACATTAATATCCTTATCAAATTAATTTTCAGAGGTAACGGTAATTTCAAGATAATTCAAGTTTTCTTGAATTATGAATTCTAAACAAGTAATGAGGTTTAACATTGCCCAAAGTACACTAAATACTGCTAAAAATAAAAAACTTGTCTCTTACTAAATAGCAGGTGATAGATAACATTTCCACTGAAATATTAGAACACATTTGTTACTTTATTCTGAATGAGTTGAAGAAGTAGAATTAATCTACAGCCATTTTTTAGGGCACTGTGAGAAAAACAGCTTTATGCTTAGAGGGTAAGAAGAGAGATTCTGGGTAAATATGTGAGATTTTTCTTATTCTCTTTAGAATTTAGCACTGTGGTTATATATCAGGTTTGGGGTGGGTGTGTGTGTGTGTGTGTGTGTGTGTGTGTGTGTGTGTGTGTGTGTTTGTTCTGGGCAGGAAAGGGATGAAGATGGTTGTTTTACACAATCAAAACCTCTGGTGTCAGCAGAATTGATGAGACATGCTCCTGGGGAATAAAACTTCCTCAATGAAAGAATCTGAGGAATTTTATATTCTGGGGGAAGATCAAGACACAGTATAGTCAAATTCTGCTTCAAACTGAAGTTTAAGGTTGAATGGTTCAAAGTTAAGAGGTTATCATTTAAACCCATCAAGAGTTGGTAATTCAGCAATTAAGTAATCAGAGAAGCATAGCTCTTCTGTAATATAGTCATTGGAGTAGTATGCCTCCACTTTAATAAGCAAAGAAGGAGACAGCCTTCCTCTTTAGAAAACTCAAAGGTATTCTTCATTTAATTAATAGGTAGGGAAAGTCTTGAGCAGAAAAGAGTAGTCCCTGAGATCTATTCAATTAGCCTTTGTGCCTATTCTTTTGCTAACTTTTACAAGGTAACTAATGACATATTTAAGTGCACACATGTGCTTTATTTTTTCTCTTTCTTTATCTTAATGAAATACACCATTTTAGTAAACTTTTTATTATTTGAAATATGTGTTGAAATGAAGTCATCACCTCTTGTCTAATTGAAAGCAGCATAACTAGCCAAAGAGGAATAATGTAAAGTGTCACATAGGACTTGAGTGAACAGAAATGGGTTTCTCAAGATAGGTTCTGAAAGTCCCTGGGCTGGTCAGGTCAGAGTAGGAGAAAACCCTAATTACAGATTTCTCACACATAGCAATTGAAAAAAATGTAGGGTACCTGGGGTTCTAATTGTAGTTGAATTCAGTGGTTCTCTTCATATACTGATATTTATTCATGCATCATTCTGCATCTGGGATTAGCTAAATTTACACTTTAATAGTCCTTCTAAAACCAAGGAGGACATTAAGCAAAGCAAAATACACTTCTCCAGGGTTTTCTAGTCTAATAATGTCATGATAATAAGACATGGAGTGAGTGACATGTACCACTGCTGGTATGCAAAATTGTTTTGGGTGGTGGAAGATGAAGATATTTTTGTTATTTTTAAATTATTTATTTGTTTCTATTTTAATGTGTATCAGCTACAAGCCATAATTTTGCATGTAGTATTGTCTAATACGAAACTAAAGTAAAAAATTTAATGAATCAAAAAAGGAAGCAATAACAACAGCACAGCTATTTCATGGGAGGGTAGTAAAACTCTTGAAAGTAGTCCACAGATGACTGAAGTTGGGAAACAATAGTGCCCGTTGCATTCAGTCATTCACTCATTCATTCAGCAAATGTTTATTAACTGCTATGTTCTCCCACATATACAGAACAAGAACACATCCATGTATTAGACAGACCAGATCTCTGCCCTTGTCTCATGATCTTACATTTTGGCCCATGTCTCATGATTCCTCATAAGACTAGGATAATCTGAAGCTGCACACACTGGTGTGTTTTGTCTACCTCAGCTGGACCCAAAAGTAAATTCCTTCTAGAGCTCTTTTGGCTCACCTCAGGTTAACCATGGAGCAGCCAGGGGTCAGATTCAATCCCAGGAAGATAGTCTCACTGGGGATGCCTCCTAAAGAACCCTGCCCTATAAACACTGGAGCTCTGCGAAGATAGGTGCACCATCATAAATAGGAAGATCACAGTTCAGGTGCCCTGTCCACCGGCAGACATCCTCCTTCCGAACACTTCCACTCCACCGTAATCCTCCATGCCAACCACTTTAACTTGCAGAAGTCAAACCCAAAACATAGTACAGGAGCCCTTTCACGCTGAGAAACCAAATGTGAACAGAGACAAGCAATGGAAAATACAACATTGTATCTCCTCACTTCAGTAGCCCTGGTCTACTATTCCAACTTGCTAAATTTTTATCACAAGTTCTGTTTCCCACAGACCAATGAGAGATTGAGGCATTAACACCTAAGGTTGATTTAGAACACAATTTGGGTAGAGACCCTTTTTACAGGAGGCTGAGAAGAAATAAAAAGTGATCTCTCAAGGAGGTTTTGTATTTTATTCTATTTTTTCCTAGAAGTTTGCTGATATAGAAAGAAAGAGAATCTGTGCTTAAAACAAAAACAAATAAAACATTTAAACCTTAGTGGGTTCCATGTGGGAGAGGAGGAAGGTGAAGTGGAGTTCAGTGAAGCTGAATTCATTGTTCCCTCAAGCCTGACCCAGACTATTAAAGATTTTCGCAACGAGGTTCCCTTCCACCAATCAATTGTATCTGCTCCAACAGTGCTTCTGAAACCAAAATCACTTGGTGTGGGGTTGGAGGGTGGGTACTTACTGAAAAATGCATATTCCGGGGCCCCACCTCAGAATCTGAATCTCTAAAGTGAGG